TATATCCAGTATTCAAGTAAAAGTATGTTTGCTTCCTGCTTTTGCATATTCTTTACTTACTTTTTTGGTATTTTATCTATTTTCTGTGACTGGAATATAACAGCAACACATGCAAGTGCCTCGCTGCTTAACTTAACAGGAACATGCTAGAAAATCAAGTATCATAAGTATTTACAATGAACATTAGTGACCGGCAATAGTCCTGTTTAACCAAATGATAATTTCCCCTTAAATATCAATACATTTTACAACTTAAACCAACTGTGACAGAGTAGTTACATTTTGCTAAGGAAAAATAGCTTTGCAACAGTTTTAAAAGCCTATCATTTCTACAAACCCTTGAACCTTGCCTCTTTCTACTTATTACACTGACTAACCTTAGTCAAGATACTGACTAACCTTGGTCAACACAGGCAACAGAGTTGTAAGCACTTCGGTCTTCAGTTTTGTCCTGCTGGTCAACTGACTGGCTATCATGTAGGAGGCTGCCTTATAATCCACACTCTTGGACTTCAGCCCCTTGACCAAATGTGGCATCAGCTGTGCAATGAGACTATCCGTGATGGGGTCACAGTACTGCAGGCCACCCACCACAGTGGATGCGTAGAAGGAAATGACAACTCTCAGTGGGGATGTTGGACTGTGGTCTGTACCATGAACCTTCAAAGTGAAAGCAAGGTGTTTAAAAAGCTGAATTACACCAGTACGGATAAGCAAACAGAAAAATATTTAGAAAGGAAGTCAACTATTTCTTAATTTGAAAATAGGAGTAATTCATTTTTTTTTAGCTTAATCAAGATTAGAAAAATTTGATTCATGTAATCATTTGAAATCCATGGTCATTATCACAAAGTATTAATTTCTCAAATCACTTACTTTGAGAAACTTAGGCACCATTTCACAGATAAAAGTCAGAAAGCTTGGATCCTTGTAGCAGTGAGTTATCACAGTGGATCTGGCAAGTGGAACTCCAGGTTTCTGGAAAGTCATCATTAAGAAAAAGTGTAAAGAAAAAAAAACTAAAGAATGCATAAAAATAAAATCATTCAATTTTGTCACAGGACAACAATTACCATATTTCCCAATACAACTCAATCATTAGCTGCACTTGGAAAAGTCTGATAAACAAAGCAATATTCAGACATTTTCAGTTAATCCCACTTGTTCTTAAACTTTAATAACAAGTTCAAGAAGTGCATAATGCCATTTACCTCAATTTTATCTTCATTCCATTGGGCAATCCTTGAAAGTATCATTTTCTTTATCAAAACTGTATCATCAAATTTCCACTGACCTGAATCCCCTCTATCCAGTTCCATCTTGATGTTGGATCAGACAGCTTGAGCAACTGTATTACCCTCACAAACATGTTGGTCTCATGGTAAGGTAGGACACACAGGATCAAGTTGTCCACATTGTACTGGTGAATATGGTACCTATGGATAAATGGTAACAAGGGATTCAATTAAGCAACTTGAAATATTCATTTTTTATAGACACAGCTTATATAGACAATAATATCTCTTATTATTTGAAAAAAAATGATGATTATACACACTGATATATTATTCTGTACAAATTTCCTTTATCAAAGAATATGAAGAAATATCCATATAGTTTTAGCCACCTAAATAAAAAAAAATACAATACAAAGACCACTCCATATAATTCCCTTCTATGTTTACCTATAAATCAGCCACTCCATTGCTTTCTGAGCAGGCCTAAGCAGAAAGTAAGGTGAAACACGAATCAGGAATTCTGATATCGTCTGATCCAGTTTGTCATTCACTTCTTTTGTCTGGACACTTCGTTCAAAGGACTGAGATGACTCATTAAAGAGAGTGTCTTCAAACTGTTGGAAAGCACCATCTATATTTTCAAGTTCTTCTAGACCATTTATTCCTGTAAACATAAATATATAACAAATGTTTCAATGAAACACTTGGACTATATTTAATACTAGTACATGTCATATGGAATGAGCTAGCATGAAGAAAAATTGATAATTTTCAAAACAGAGAATATTATTATCTTGGTATATAATGCCAATTCTTATATTTAATAAAGACTAACACTAATGTAGAAACTATTTATTTCAATAATTTACCTAAAGCATAGTAGGTTTCTCTGTCAAGGTTTGCTGCCTCCTTGGGATCAAACAGCAGTGATGCCTTCCTCTTGTCTTCACCTAAGACAGTCTGTGTAAATGGAACAGCTAAACGCTGCAGCTGTTTGGCTAGAGATGTCATGGTTCACCTGTAAGAAAGTTGAAAAAATTGTTAATTAAGAAATCTGACAAAAAATGGGCAAGGGGAAATTGGTCTTTTACCACTAGAATGGGTACGAAAGAACATCAAATTGGCAGAGGAGGTAAAAACTTTTTTGAGTAGCAGTACATGGATAAAAAGACTCTCTTTTCGAAAACAAAATATTGGAATCGGGTCCCAGTCACAGGAGTTGGAACTGACCTACCGTACTAGTTGTACCATTTATTTGCATACCCCCTTCAATCTTATTAAACTGGATTCACCATGGCACGATAAGCTATGCGTAGGCACCCGTATTTAACGTTTTCTGATATGTGCTAACCCATAAAAGATATAGCATAGCGCAACCCAACTTCTGGACATAACTCAAGTTCCAGATCGTTTTAAGGCCTAGAGTAGAACCGTAATCCAGATTAAAGCCCATAGGTGAGCCAGAACAAAAGTAAATAAAGATAAACAAAAAACAAACCTAAGAGAGTCCACCTTCGGAATAAGTCTGATACATCAAATTAAAAATGAAACGCCACAAATATTACACGAAACCGTAGGAACTGTGTCCTTTTTCGCAAGCCATGTGCTTTCGCCGTTTACACGATAGCTCTATAGATGGCGCAACCTTCAAGAAGAGACTGTCTCTGTATTTAGACCATATATTTATAAATGCAGAAAGGATCGACGCCGTCCAGTGTAAAAGGGGCTTATTAAAGATATTACCAAAGACAATACCAGAAAAAACGAAGACAGAATCTGGTGAAGATAAAATGTGGTTCATGTCAACAAATAAGTCAAAATGTAACCAAAAAAAAAAAAAAAAAAAAAAAAAAAAAAAAAAAAAAAAAAAAAAAAAAAAAAAAAAAAAAAAAAAAAAAAAAAAAATTTTAAAAAAAAAAAAAAAAAAAAAAAATATTATTTTAAATAAATATTTTTANAAAAAATCGATAAAAATGTTACCACTTTTCGGACCAATGAACCTTCGGACCAATGAACCTTCGGACTATCGAGACGCCCCCATGCGTAGGCACCCCTATTTCACGTTTTCTGATATGTGCTAACCCATAAAAGATATAGCATAGCGCAACCCAACTTCTGGACATAACTCAAGTTCCAGATCGTTTTAAGGCCTAGAGTAGAACCGTAATCCAGATTAAAGCCCATAGGTGAGCCAGAACAAAAATAAATCAAGATAAACAAAAAATAAACCTAAGAGAGTCCACCTTCGGAATAAGTCTGATACATCAAATTAAAAATGAAACGCCACAAATATTACACGAAACCATAGGAACTGTGTCCTTTTTCGCAAGCCATGTGCTTTCGCCGTTTACACGATAGCTCTATAGATGGCGCAACCTTCAAGAAGAGACTGTCTCTGTATTTAGACCATATATTTATAAATGCAGAAAGGATCGACGCCGTCCAGTGTAAAAGGGGCTTATTAAAGATATTACCAAAGACAATACCAGAAAAAACGAAGACAGAATCTGATGAAGATAAAATGTGGTTCATGTCAACAAATAAGTCAAAATGTAACAAAAAAAAAAAAAAAAAAAAAAAAAAAAAACGTTCGTACAGTAGTAAAAAACATAAACGCTAACATAATTAAAGTGAGATTTTAAAAAATTAAATAAAATAAAAAAGATGACTTGAAATAAAAAGGTTTAGAAGCAGTTGTGGTATTTTTGATAATGAATAAATAAAATGTCCCTTTTTTATGATGTAGTTTAAGGGAGGCAATTTTAAAGTGAGAATATTTCTTCAAATTAATTTTTCTCATTGAACTATATTTATTTTCTTTTTTCAGTTTTTTTTTTTGAATGAATGCATTTTTCAGATTATTACTTTAAAATTATGCCATTTAAATCCGAATTGATTGCTACAAGTAATTACCATATACACCTCACATTTTTTTATTTATCGTATTCTTTTTCAATCATCATTTTACAAAATTTATGTTTCATGGCTCACAAAACACACTGTTTTGAAAAGGAAAAAAATTGTCCCATGGCAGTAAGGGGGCNCCGTTTGTTTTGATGACGCAGGCTCTAATGGGTCAATAAATAAAATGTCCCTTTTTTATGATGTAGTAGGGAGGCAATTTTAAAGTGAGAATATTTCTTCAAATTAATTTTCTCATTGAACTATATTTATTTTCTTTTTTCAGTTTTTTTTTTTGAAGGAATGCATTTTTTCAGATTATTACTTTAAAATTATGCCATTTAAATCCGAATTGATTGCTACAAGTAATTACCATATACCCCCCCCCCCAATTTTTTTTATTTAATCGTATTCTTTTTCAATCATCATTTTTACAAAATTTATGTTTCATGGCTCACAAAACACACTGTTTTGAAAAGGAAAAAAATTGTCCCAAGGCAGTAAGGCAAGTAATTTTTTTCAGTTTGGAGTTGTGCATTACATAGTGGCATTTAAAGGCATTGGTTCCATCATTATATATAAACATACAGGCTGTACTTAGGAATTTAGTAAGAATTTATTCATCCTTTTTTTTTTTTTTTTTGTAAAACTATTTGTTATATGCCCCATGTTGTGGGCAAAATGTTTTATCTGTAATCTGATTTTCAGTTTCATTTCTGTTTTTTTATTAGATTTTATCGAATTAATAGCGCTAAAACGTTCCTCAATCTTTCAGCTATCAAGTACAAGATCTTGATCAACCACTTGTTTCCCGCAAATGTTTCGTTGTCGCCATTCGTCAAGACAAGCCAAATACTTCCGTTCATTAGATTGTTATCGAAATTGGTCATCGCAGTCGGAGGCTACCGCTCAACGATTGTGTTTGAAGTTGGAAGTATCATGATGTTTGAGTGGCTTGCCTAGCACTGTGATATGAATATGGGTTAGCTGTGAAGCAGGGAAACCGTTTATTTCTCTGTTACATCGATGGTGCTAGAAGAATGCATTTTTGAGAGAGCGCGGACGCAATAACGTTGAAACAATCGTGATGTCGGACCCCTCCAGCGACGATAATACAAGTGTCAGAGTAGCACTGAGGTAAGTCGTGTGCTACCTCGACGAGGAGCATGTCAGTTCGACGCATTTTCACTGCTTATGTTATTGATCATATTATGAGCAAAAAGTCGCGTTAAACAGTATTTATTGCTCTAACTAGTAACGATAAATTGTTTTCTATTTTTTTATGTTACATGTATTATGTTCTGCATGAATAGTTACAACAAGACTGACGTGATAAATTTCACAGTTCTAACACCAGCATCAACCATATAAGTGCAGTTAGGTCCACGTTTCTGATATGAGCAATATAAGCACTTTTTACTGTTTCCAGTTAAAATGATTACACTTCCTTCTAAGTATAGTGCACACAGAAGTCATCATTCATCTTGTGGTTATTCTATTTCTTGTAGGAGCATTCAATGTTTACTTTCAATCTTTACTGGTTCAGTACATGCATTGACCTTAAATAACAGCTTAATATGAGAGGTGACAGTGTGTATATTTTGGCATTTACACCTTTATTTTTATCAATAATTCCGTTTGTGTCCTTTGGTATAAGGTCTGTTTTTATAATAGGAGTAGGTATTGAAATATTGATATTTTCAACTGTGCAGGGGTTACTTCACTTGAATAGTTTCACTTAGTCATAAAATCTACATTTACAATCAATGTCTTGTATCTGATTTTTACCGACTTTCAGGACATTTTACCTGACTAAGTTAATAATTGCCTGCTTAAAAATTAATAGTGCATAAATGTTTGTTAAATGTGCATTACATGCAGTTGGGAAATTATTCTTTGGTAGTGGTGTATTTTTTTTTGTTAAAAGCACACAAGAATGTAGCTTTGCCCTCATAAAATCTGTCTCTTTGGGATAAAGTTATCTGTCACATTCTGTCACAGTGGCAAGGTTCTGATACCAGAAAGATCCTTTCTTATTCGAGTGGCTAGGCTAATATTGTGAGTGCTTGCTGAAAACCATAAAGTTTGCTTAAAGCCTTTCTGAATAAATGACCACATTTGTTCATTATGAGCAAACAGAGAGAATCGTAATGCTATACTTATGGGTAAAATGGCATTTTTGTTATCAGATAGAAGAGAATGATATTTTTCAGTTTTGAGAATAAATATTATACATGAGGTGTACGTATTTTGCTAAATTTTGAGTAGCTCTATAACTATTACAGTAAGATAAGTATGCTCTTAACAAGTTTAATTAAAGTTCAACTGAAAATTTCCTTTTTAATATAGTTTTGGAAATATAGACAATCAGCAATGCACTTTTGATTTTAAAGAGATAGTAAATGTGTCTGTTGTTGCATTTTTGTGGAAATTCAAGCTTGGGTCACTTAAGATAAGATATTTCCACATACAGTTTAGGGCATGCCTTAATTTGAAGAGATTCCTGCTGGTTAAGACTGGGAATACTGAGCAAGCTTACCTGGCTTTGCAGGTGGTTTGGCTGTGGTATTCCAATGGGTTGTGTTGATCTTGACATTTACCTGCTCTAATCATACTTTATTGAAGATGTTTACTTTTCCTTAGTGTTTTTTTTCTATATGTATGCTGAAAGGAAGTTGTGATCTGGGTCAAGAGGCTTACAGAAAGATAAAGATGAAAAAGTTATCTCTTTTAAAATAGAAACAAAAATAAGGGATATAATGTCACAACTCAGCATTTACCTATGATACTTAATTTATTGAGTTGCAATGTTTCAAATTTGCAGAATGTTATCCTAGTCAGAATTAAACCACAGTTATTGCTTCTTAATAAGAAATAGGTGGAAGTGGTAAGAGAGTGCTATATCTCCTTAAATCATAATGCATAAAATTTGCCAAATATTTATTTAGCTTACGCTAAAATAACAATCATTTCTGTCTATAATAGGATATATATTAGGTGCAAGCTTGATACATGCCATCATACACAATTGTATGGTATAAGAACTGTGTTTTAGATTTGCCGGTGGCTTAAAAGCTTGGTGGAAGTTATAAATGATTAATCAGCTAGGCTTGGAATTTAGTCAAAGCTAGTTGAATCAGTCATATAAATGTCTGAAAATTCTGGTTTCTAGTATAGGAAAACTCCTGAGTGAAAACTGGACTTGTTGAAATCAAACTTGCATGCATTTCTCATTGTCCACCAGGCTTATGTATGGTAATAACCCATGCATACTATGTTTTTTTTACCATGAATTTTGATTCTTATGAATTGAAAAGTAAACCTCTCTAAATCACCAGTCAAAGACCAATTGCATTTAGAACAACTAACATGCAGATTTCCTAAGTTTGTAAATCGTTTTGATTGATAGTATTTATTCCATCATCCAAGAATGTAATACTACATTCTGGGTGTCATAAATAAATTAACAAAGCAATGGGCTTGTGTCTATCTTTTAAAAACTACCTGCCATTTTTAAATCTGTTTCAGCATTGGAGAAAATATGTACTGTATATATAAACACTGAAGCATGCACTGATATAGTGTATCCTTGCATCTATCTAAATACTATACCACAGTTTATCTGAGGTGTTGAAATCCAAGTGACAACTTTCAGTGTTAAATGTAGGTGTAAATGGCAGGAGATGATATGTATGTGCTAATTATTGTCTAGCTAATAGCCCTAAGGTTGGCTGCACCTTGGTGTGAGGCAGACAGAGATGTCCCTTGTCAGTGAGAATGTGCAAGATTTAGGCATGCTCACAACCAGAGTAACTTAGATTGGAAATATAGTCTAATTGGTGTGTGTAACTGCAGTTAGTAAAATTACTCAAGGACCCACATACAGTTGTGTCTTATTGAGATTTATATCCCATGTGAAAGTAATGTGAATGTCTTATTATGTTTGTAAGACTATTTCTGGTCTAAGTTATGTCTGGTTGTGAACACGGCTGTAGAAGTGGTGATGACCTGTCAGAGGACATGTATTTCTTCCCAGATTGACATTCAGTTCAAAAGAACCTTTATGGTAGTGTTGTATTTTATAACATTCATAGTTTTCAGGGGCGTAACCAGACCATTTAAAATTGTACGCACAGATTTTGAAAATTCTCAGGTACGATTAAATTCCGTGAAAAATACACTGAATTTTTGGAGAATAATATCATGGTTGGCTCAAAAAATTGTACGCACAGTGCATCCGTGCGTATGCCTGGTTACGCCCCTGGTTTTTATAATAAAAGAGCCTGAAATTCAGCCTTTTTTTACCAGTCAGAGGAATATCACCCATTGAAAAGAATAAACCTCTTAAATTTTGTTATTTATGCTTATAAATTGGGATGACCTATCTCCACACTGTCCTTACATTGAAAAGTATGCCCAAGCATGGATGTTATCTTTCTATATGGGTAGATGCATCATACAGAGAAATCGTGGTAATTGACATGCATTTTTGACCACATATATCATAATGTTTTAATATTGAGATGCATGGCATGTTTGACAGTATGAGATGAATGAGGTTCCTTGTGCAGAGTGACCTGCTGGATCTGACATTTTTTTTATTTCATTGTGTAAGAAAAATAAAAAATGTTCAGGTATGAAGCATGACATGTGGACAAGGCTAACAGATGTTGCCATGCTGTGAATCATTGGATTTAATTGATGTGAATTTGTACCAATTTGCAGGTGGCAAATAAAAGAGAGAAGGCTTCGACTTTGCCAAACATTTTCTAATTCAAATTTGTAAAATTTGACGTTCAGCTAGAAAATTATGGGGTAGTAGAGATTCCTGGGCAATTTTTTTTCAAAAGCCATCCACCATTTTCCAAAGTCTGGAGAACAGTTTAATTTTTATATATATATGGTCTTTTAATAGATCAGGATTTTATATTATTTTCATGAACAGCGGCATGCTATAGACTATTGTTAAAAATAAAGCATCTTATGCTAAGACTGGCGCCACATTTAGATGAGTACCCCAGCATTTAAGGCACCTGTGAGGCCACCACATTTACCTACGCTCACTCCATGGCAGTGACATATGGACGAGTTTTGGGTCATTTGCCTCTCAGCGACAACTGAGACAGATATGTACAGATAGCCCAGGATACCCCGGAATATATGATTCACCTGCTGGCCAAGAAAATTTTATACATGCTCTTTTGGAAAGTTGACAGTATTTGTTGGTTTTGAGGCCAGATTTGGCAACATTTTTTATTGTATTATTAACTAGCCTAGTTGCAGCATTGGTGCCAAAAGTGTGAGCTGTCTTTGCAATAAAAAAAGCATTTTATGGTCTTCCTTCAGTTTCTGCTTGGCAGTTTATATTGAAATCCCTTGTTATTTCTGATTTTGGTTTGTTCAACAAAGCTGGTGATTGATGTTTATCATCAGTAAACTTAATGTATTACTTATTGTGCAAAAAGTATAATTAGTATGTGACAGAATCATGACTCTGAAGCCATTTCATGGTGATATGTTGGTTTGAATAAAAGATAACAAATGTGCTATTGCTAGAATGCTAATCTCAATTCTTGATTTTTGTCCATTTTATTTATTTTCAGTAAACTTTAAGGTTGTAAAATGTAGACATTTTAAAATGTTAACTTCACCAAGTCTGCAAGGAATGCCATAAACCCACAACCAATTGAAAACTGAAGAAGGTTAAGCAGGTGATGAACAAGTGACAATATACAGATACAATAAAATCAACATGATTCACCTGTAGGATATGACTCATTGGCCTTATACAAATTCATATCAATATGTCACATTCAGGTCAACAGTGTATCAGTCTGTCTGTCTGTCTTGTGCATACTTTATTTTCATACATTTAATAATATTTGGCTAATTTTATGATAATAGGCACATATCATATGTACACTTAAATATTTTTGCAACCAATACAGATTATTTTTCTGCCATTGACAAAAACAATCTTTTTAAATGTCTGCTAACATGAATTCTGTTCATGCTCTTACATAAGTCTCCTCTCTTCATCCCAGCTAAAAGTGAAGGTCTGCAAATGATACTTTATGCAATTTTTTCCTACAGTTATATTAAACCTCATTTTAGAGGGAAAAAAACAGTGCTGACTC